AAGACAATTCACACCAATGTTATGGGTACTAGGCAACGGATATACATACATATTATAGATAGATAGACATATAAATACATATTTAAACGCCCAAGACCTAAGCACAACACCAAATGCTCATCACATCGATGTTCGTCTCAGCCGGGGATCGAACCCGGGACCCATGGATTTGCAGTCAGGGGTACTAACCACTAGACCAATGAGTCGTCAAATGAGCATTGATTTCCCGAAGCACCTTGTCTGTAACCATTATATTATTTCTAAATTGCTCTTCGCTGTAAAGCTGAATGCCATGTCCATGCAGGCATTATCACTTGTTTATAAGTCAGTACATTTGTTTGTCATGTGTTCTTTCCTTCGCAATTTGGCGTCTAGGGTAATTCCTAAGTGTTTAGCCGTATTAGCATGGAGTTATGTGTCGGTAATAAATAATGGTCTGTACTGTATGGCTCGAGTAGTAAAATCGACATGAACAGATTTGGAATGGTTCAGCTTTATACGCCACCAAACTGTCTAATCAGTGATAAAATTAATGGTATTTTGTGTAATTTCAATGGCTTCTTCATAATTGTCACTGGTTGACATTATTGCACTACCATCGGCAAATGTAGCTGTAGTACTGCTTTGGGGTTTTGGTATGTCACATGTGTATATGAGGTACAGGATCTGCCCTAATATACTTCCTTGTGGTACTCGAATTCATTTCCATCAGTTGTAAGTATGAATCTTCGTATCTGACCCTGAACATTCGGTTTTCAATATAAAACTTTCATATATTTTAAAATTGTCGAGGTAAATACTTATACAACTTATAAATCTAGCTTTCGTGCCAGACTTTGTCATAAGCTTGTGCGCGACCTCAAGAAATATAGTTGAACAAACTTTCTTCTCTTCAAAAGCCTGCTCTATGATGTTAGTAATCTTATGAAAGTGATCAATACTCGAGTGTTTTTCTCTAAATCCAAATTGATGATTGGGTATAAGGTTATTATCTTCTAATATTGGCTTAAGCCTTTTTGGTAATAATCTCTCGAATAATTTGGACTTAATATTATCTTCAATACACTCAATAAACAACTATAAACAGCATATCTAACGCAAGGCCTTATCAGTACCAATCTAGTGGATATTCGTCAATTTTCTTATAAAAACGCAAAATAAATTATAACTCTGCAGGGGTTGAGCTTAGGAACCTCCCGGAGAACATTTTTTTGCAACTGATAACCTCATCTATCCCGTGGTTGCGTTTGATCCACGCAACCACGATTTTTGGCCACCCTGTATAATATACAAACCACCGTTTGTACATTAGATATAAGATTTTTAGTTTCTCTATCTATATCTTCTTTAGCCTTTAATGTTACTCTTAGATTGATGTTATTATCTTAATCAATTTGAAAGCCCGTCCAGTTGTTTTTTTATAGAAAGAATATATATTTCTTATATTAATTTATTTATTCATATATTTGCTTTTTAGGATCTGTTTACAATCAATGTGAGAGGCGAATGAGCGGAGTTTATATTTAATCCATTTTCAATGTCAATATTTGTTGTTTAATATTTTTATATACAAAAAAGTCAATTGAAGCCGGTTTCCTTTTTGGATAAGTTGACCACTATGTTGGATTACCTGTTGATATTACATAGCACTGCATTGTTACAATCGCTTTAAACGGTTCTTTTCCTTTTGATGTGGTCAGCCTTGAGCCCTAATAGGTATTCTTTGAATTGAAATCACCTCCTAGTATGAATCTATTTCCTAAGTGATGAAACAATTATATGTATTGATCTCTTTTTATGGAATGTTTTGGTGGGCTATATATGGCCGATATTACGTATATCGTTTGATTTTAACTAACACACCTGCAGCTTGAATTTCCATTTATTCGTCATTAATCTATAAGTGGTTTTTAATATTTTCTTTAACTATTACAGAATAACCTCCTCTTGTAGAATTGTAAGGATGTATTGCATTATAAGTTAGATATCCATTTAACTTGAGATATGAAGCATATACCAGTGTCTCTACTGTCAAGAACAACTTGTAGCTCTTGTTGAAAGAAGGCGAAGAAGTTTAAGAAGGCTTTTAGCGTACCAAGTCATAATTTTCAGAATGTTGGTTATTTTTGGGCATTAATTGAAGCATTTTTATTGCTTATATTATTTTGATGTAAAAACATATTATTTTGTGGAAAGCTTCTAAGCATTTTGTATGTTCGTTATTGTTTTGTTTTGTTTCGTCTTTTTTTGGCTTCGATACCAACTCAGCATACGTAGGACTAATCTGATTATTAGCAGACGTGGTCAATGCTTGCTTGGGTTGCACCACTGGCTTGTGTTGACATGTTTGGTTAGATTTATGTAATTTTCTGGTTATCGTGGGTTTCATTTGTTTAATATTTTTAATTCCTTGCATTTCTTTTGCAACGGTATACCCTCTGTAGCTTGCAGGAAGAGTTCCTCCGCAGTGTAATAAGTAATAATTTTAAAATACAAAACTATACTGGGATGGAGACTGGAAGTACACCTCATCATTTTGAAATGACAAGATAAACATACTAAGCGCCTTTTTGAGTTGATTATTTTATTAATAAAGTTAATAATGTAAAAATATAATTCCTTATGTAGTCTGGTTCAAATCCCTCCTCTACATGTAGGCGAAGCAACTTATTTGTCATGACGCGAAAAGAAGCCATAAAAGTTTGTTTTGTGACAGTACTTCAATAATTTTCTAAATGTTTCGCCGTCAGTAGCGTTTATTTTTCCACATTGGTCATTTGAATTTTTTATAGAAAAATTGTCGTTTTCGATCCCCTTAGACAACAGGTCATAAATGTCTTGATAGTTTTTTATTTCACCTAATGTTATATATTAAGCTTAGATAATACTAATATTACCTAAGCTTAAATTTATTTAGGCGTTTGTGATCAAACGTTTAATATTACAACGGTATTAAGATAATTGTTATACCAGCTAAGGGCCGGTATATTGATAATGCAAACATATGTACAAACATTATGATATAATCATGGAATAATGTAATACAGTGTATAATCTATTTAAATAACAAATTACTATACGCATACTTGGTACAAGTTTTTGTTCCATCGATACAAATCTTTTTGAAATCATTGAGGTAACGCACTTAGATTTAAGTACCCACCACTGCCCAAGGATACAACTTCGAGAGGCTAGCAAGTGCATTGCCGGGCTTTAGGGATGCAGTATTATTTTTGTTAACGGTCTTCTAGGTCTTGAAAATATCTATATGTTACTGGTATCGTTTTAAAAATACCTCTCAACTTGTTCCGTAAAGTGGCGGTGCACGTGTAAAAACTTAAATCGCTAAAGTGCAACACCAGGTGTTGAAGTGATAGATGGAACAGCCTGTATCATCAGATAGGTAACTGCAGGTTTCCATTCTTTTACAAGTAATGGCATTTGCTGTTTGAATTGAACTATATTTTTGTTGCCTTTGAGAATATTTTACCAAGAAATACTCGTAGCGAGCGATTATCAGATATCTTTTGTTGCGATCTGTATATAAAGCATAAAAGCTGTGAGTACAATGTTCTCTAAAGTCACACTTGTAGGTTATAGTAATGGTTGTTTTATATTCAATGTAGTAGTTTTTTTTAATATCTTAAGAGTCATAGTATCTGAATACAACTTAAGAATAAAATATAAAAATATTTTACCTTATAAAATGTTCATACGAAGCATAATTTCTATTATGAAAAATGTATCTTTATTGTAATAAATTCGTGACTAAAAATTTAAATGAATGTTTAATAGAGACTTCTACTGTATTATACAGTAATTTATTACTACTGTATACCTATAATGAAGTCTAAACAAATTAAAGTTATAATTTTTGATTGATGATTATTAAACTCATCAAAATCCTTTAATTAACATACTTATTAATGTAACTTAGAAAAGTTATGTATTCGTTTATTAACTATAACAGATTGTTGGGTAAAATATTATAAATATGCTCTGTTTTGAATTTAAGATTTATTTGTTGCATTTTATTAACTTTTTAATAGAAAATAATTATAATTTTATAAAAATGTTAATAAGTCGTTAACTGTGCGAATAAGATATGCATATAGTGTAATGATTGTGTGAGTTGAGGTGTGAACTGGAGACTGTCGCATCCCACTTGCATCCAAGGATGAAGTATAATCTGTGAATGAAGTTTATTAATATAGTCCCTAAGCATAGCTTTCAATGTTTTACTTATAGTCAATATATACTAACGAACATTGGCTAACTGTTTATATAAGAATATATTTATCTACTATTTATAAACCTTCCAAAGTGGCTGGCTACAAAATTACGTAGCTGCGGCGCTACGCGTAGCAATCGCTTTTCCGTAGCCGACGGCCTACGGATGAATTTCAGTATTTTTAAAATTTGTTAACTAAATATGTACTCATATAACTAGGTACAAGTATTACAAGAAATAAACTCGTAATTAAATAATCAAACAAGAGAATTAACGGAACATGATAAATAAGAATTATGAGACTTGTATAGTTATTTTTCAATTAAAATATAGCCTTTCTTCAATAACCATCTTAAAAAGAATAATGTTTTAAAATCCTATAAAAGTATAAAACCAATTGAAACATTTAACTTCAATAAAATTGCGCGCCCGTCGGATTTTCATTGCTGAAGCCGTCGCCGTTTCTACCGTCCCGTAAACGTTGTATCGTTTAACTTTTATTAAAAATAAAATTATCAGACGCTTCCAAAATGATGGCTATATTTTTATCGGAATAATGAACATTTAACGATACATCAACTTTTATAAATAAATGAACATTTGAATAATTGTCGTTCTAATAACTCGTACTGTTACTTTAAAACGTGGGTGGCCTTAAACTGTGTATTGTTTTAATTTTATGCAAAATTGGTCCTTACTGAATATTTAAATAACATTGAAAACTATGCAATGGGGAAACATAACAAATTCGCTTTTCGTACAAATATAAATGGAGCTCCATAATTCGCATTGCAGCAAGCTTACATTAGACATAAACGCGCAGCAAATTGGAATGTGTGTTTGTTCTGTTGTGTCCTTGGTGTTGTTTGACCGTAAGTTATTACTTGGTACCTGAAATGTATAAAAAAAAGACTCACCGAAGGGTTGGGTACACATCGCCGCGGGTCAGAGGTGCGGTACGTTGGGCTGTACCGACCAGGGAAGCAGCCCGGGGGTGCCATGAGACCCCCACCGGACTTCATCTTCTCCGGCGAGTACATGGCACATGACCCCCACGGGTCGTCCTCCAACTTCAACACCTTGGAAGGTGAGTGGTACTGCCGGTCGAAAATTTTGGCGACTTTATCGTACTTCGGGGTTGAAAACGGCGACGCGTCGCCTCGACCGCTCGCTACGCCGGGTGATAACCGACTGAGTAGGGTGCCGCGTGACGTCACACTACTCTAGCTTACTCTTGTGAGGGAAAACGCGCTGCGGAAAATTATATTGTTAATCTAACTGTATTTGAATTGGTATTATTTTTTTTTTGATCTCAACAAGTTTTGGTGCCGTCTTTTTTATTTAACAATTTTGTTTACTTAAAACTTACATTTATTTTTTAATTTTTATGACTTAACTATTTGGAATTAGTACAAGTACTTTGTACATCATTCGCAATCAAAGTCGAATTGAAATCAAAAATTTTAGGTACGTTGGAACTCGGTTGAAATATTAATTTACAGTACACCTAGTCGTCGACGTGACTTCAACATAGGACTGACCAAGGAGGTTTATAGACAAGGGTTAAGTGCAGCGCTAGTGAAAGTAGTAAGCGCTGAGTTGGTGAGAATGCGTCATGGGCCACGCCCTCGCCCCTCTCTACTAGCCCTCCTCCTGTAGCACCTCGTCCCTCTCACGCATGTTTACGTCGCCGCCGGCGGCTTCACGATTAACTGAATTATTTAATTGGTCCATTCACTTCTCGTGTCTGTTACCTTTTCACGCTTCTAACTCGGAAAGATTGACGGATCGCCCGTGGTGCGATTGGCATAACCCTTAATTATGCCGATTTCATAACAAATGAACTAACTGTCATATCAGACATCATTGCCACTGATCGACGTATGGCATACACCGAATGCCACTAAAGCTTATAAACTATTCGATGATCTGGCACGCTTTAGCTGAATCTCAGTAAATTTAATAATTGTTTGATTTATTATTTAGTTATATTTATTCAGTGAGTAGACTAATCGGTAATAAATAAATGCAGGTCAATAATTCGTCATAACAAATTTTTTGTGGTGTTTCTAGTTAATTAATTTGATTATTTACATTCTTGAAATCGTTGTGATACGAGTTTTTTATTGACATGCCATGCCATTAAACTAATGGTCCATCTGATCCAATATTCAATTTACCAAATATAAATTATAATCTTTATTTAAAAGTTTAAGTTCAAGTTATATCAGTATAAGTTAGATACAGTTTATTATTCACACTACAACGTATAAATTTCTTTGTAGGAAAAACAGTACAGTTGTCATTTCTGTAGCATCGTAGCGGATTTTGTAGCATGAAACAGAACTACGAGAATGTCGAGAATACAAAAACAGTGCAGCCATTATTGCATTGTCATTTTAAATTAAATATTTATAATTACATTTTAAAACCATTAACTCTGTTACATGTCGGAATCTATTTAGGTAAAAATTCCGTTTGATATCCCGTAGACAAATTGTATTGATTATAACTCATTCGATTACGCGGTCACCAAAATTCACCATAAACGCCGAACTTTTTAAAAATCCATTAATATAAATATTTTTATTCATGCCCTCAATTAACAATGAAAGTACAAAACATCATTATGAAAGGGTTTCACAGGTCCACGGGGAGCCGCTGTGATGATATATGGCGTGTATGAGCACAATTAGCAAAGATCATATCCCTGCAATGTGCAAACCAACGGATGTGTATGTCAAAACAAGAACAACCCTTCACGTAATTATTCGGCCTCGGCCGGCAGATGGCGGGACTTTAATTTTTCGATTTCGGACGGCTGTACATTATGCATGACGCTTTTATCGCTTGCTGCGGTTCCTTCGGGACTCTGCCCTGTTCAGATCAAGTTACACGAAATGGCGATTTGCTAAACGCTGAGCTTATCAACCCACTACGCTACTGATTAATTATAATAGCATTATGCTGATACCAATACAATCTGGGCAAACTATTGGCTACACCACGATTTGAAAATTGCAATTGTCTATGTTACTTATCTTTGTATTTGAAAAGTGTCCTATTTTCTTCACATACAAGTAGTAAGTAAGTACAAGTGGTAAGGTAGGTTTTCCTTTCTTTATTAACTTTTGTTTTATTCATTTGTTATAATAACACTCCCTCCGTAGTGGTTTAAGTAACTGTGTTACGATAGGAAGACAACGAACCATAAAAATTAATATTTACAAAGGAAATATAAAAACGAAATCGAAATACTAAATTGTACATATTTTTATTTGAAAAACAATAATTAAATATCAGTGGCGCTACAACCTAAAGGTTGTAGACTAAAGTCTTGGCCTCAGATTTCTGAATCTGTTTCATGATCATTTTTAAGTGTAATGGGCAAGTTGGCGATCAGCCTCCAGTGCCTGACACACGCCGTCGACTTTTTGGGTTTAAGACATGCCGGTTTCCTCACGATGTTTTCTTTCACCGTTCGAGCAAATGTTAAATGCGTACATAGAAAGAAAGTCCATTGGTGCACAGCCGGGAATCGAACCTACGACCTCAGGGATGAGAGTCGCACGCTGAAGCCACTAGGCCAACACTGCTCTGTTAAAATAAACAATGTATATATTATATTAAGTACATTAAGAAAAATATTATTACAAGCTTAGTTACTATTATAAACATTTGTAAAAAGATCTCTGACACTATAAAAGACCAGGGTCAGTACTATGTAACTTCCAAAAACGACAACGATACCGATCCCGACGTTTTTTTATAAAAGTTGGAAGTAGTCCGCTCAATATGTGATGCGTGATGTCGCAACCTAAGATCGAAACCGCTGTCGGGATTCCTATTGGAAGTTACAGAGTAAGGACCCTGGGGCGAGATTGTAAAATAAAGGCTCGTTTGACGCAAATGCAGTCATCCTTGCGAACATTGTTGAGTAAATAACAATATTCAACATTGTAATTGGAAACCATCCCGAAAGTTTTCACGCCATTGTAAGTTTTTATACGTAAATTTTATAAAAAGCTAACAGCGCAGTTTAATAATTTACCCTTTTGCCGAACTGAATTTATAATTCACATACCTAAAGAGGTTTTTAAAATAGTTTTTAAAATAATTTGAATAAAAAAGACACGAATTGTACACCTCTTTCAAATTTTTTAAAATTGGCAAAATCCATTATTATTTTAATATTAGTATAGGTATATAGATAAAAATAATAGCAATCTATTGAGATTGTGAATATTGATTCACACTGCAAATTCAGCTGTTGCTAAATCTCAATGTTTGGTTTATAGCGAGGCCAAGTTCAAGTTTCAGTTTCAATTAAGATCTTGGCTTTAAGGTGGTGTTTGACTCTCATCCCTGAGATCATTGGTTCGAACCCCGGCTGTGCACCAATAGACTCTCATCATATGCCCACATGGGCATATGATACTCGCACGTACGGCGAATGAAAACATTGTGAGGTAACCGGTAGGCCTAATACCCAAAAAGTCGATGGCGTGTGTGAGGCACAGAAGGCTATTTGCCTATTAGAAAAAACAAATGATTACACAACAGATACCGAAAAGGATGTAGCGCTACTGCTGATTAAGGAACTCAATATCAGATAATACACACATATAATTATGTATATGATTATCATTCTTGACCATCTTGATCATCTTATTTCTAAACGTACTATAAGCCTTAATTAATTAAATAATGCTTTACAAAGTGACACAAGAGTGTTAAAGGCAACGATTAGAAACGTACCTAATTGACTTATAAAGCGATAAACATCTAATTAATACCAGCAATAATTTCTACTTTTTGTATGTTCGGGAGAAAAGCATAGCTGCCGCAAGCATTTTGTTCTATAAAGTCGTTGCGTTGCAATTTTGCGACTAGTATTTTTAATAAAACCGGTCGTATGTTGACACCCAACATATATTATAATAAGACCTTAAAAGTTTTATACATTCGTAATCATTAACACTTATAAATACACATTTCAATACTTTTTTCCTACAATAAAGTTCACTAAATATAGTGTGACTTTACATGAATAACAATCTAGCCTATACAAAAACTATGGCTAATAAATAATATAATATTGACTTATGTTTACTACAATCCTAGTTGAGTATCTTAACTAAGGTAATGTTCATTAACAGTCTTAGTTTTCTATAATGTTTTCACACTATGTTCGTGTGTCCGAGATACCGCACTTGCACATATATTCACTAGACTAGGTTTTTTAAATCAGTAAGTCTCTTTAAGCGGGCAATAGACGGACCGCATGTTGCAGTCAAGACCGACTGCAATAAACGGTCGCCGCACGGCGATCTGCAGTTTCCATACTAAATTCATAATCGCAATACACGGACCGCTCGAGCAGTTCCTGAGCAAACCGCATATTGCAGTCGGTGTTGACTGCAACATGCGGTCCGTCTATGGCCCGCTTTAGGCGTCTTATTCCTGTTGTGTTAAGAAGTTGGATTGCCTCAGCATTTGAATTCATATAAACACAGACATTTCCGACACTGTTTGTATTTCAGCAATTATCTTTAATAGCGATTCTGAATACAACATTAACTTTCCGTAACACGCATTTCCAGAGGCTTTGAACTCTAAACCCAGAATAATCAAGCGATATAGCTTATTTTAACCGTACACATTTAAAACCTTTGACTTTGTATTTTAGGCGCGTTGTTGTTTTTTCTTAGTTAGATAAACTTGTACTTAGATGTATACTAATCATTATATTCACGTCAATAGGTTAGCTAGGAAAAATATTTATTTTTAATTATTTTACTGAATAATATAATAAAATCATAATATGTTACATTAGAAAACTTCTATTGTTGGTATAAATGTAACCATAGCAGTCTTGTTTAGGAACGCGACAGATGCATATAGAAGTACTTTTTCAACTTACTTTTTATGTTCGTTAACGTTACCTAATACCTAATTAGATAGTCTAATAACTAACTGGGTAGTCAGTTATTAGATAGACTATCTAATAACTGACTGGGTAGTCTATTTATTAGCCGCGGTAGCAAGGGCGGATCCAGCTTTGGCGCCAGGAGGGGGTCACATAGTCGTGGTGAAGTCAAGAACTTATAATTTAATTTTTATAACAATAGTTACAAGTAAAAAGTAGGTATTTTATTAATGTACGTAAGTACTGCACTTACACTTGAAAAACTTAACACATAATATTGTGTACATACAGGTTGGTC